ATGCCACTGCTGTATCTTTCTGCACAAGACCTCTGGAAATAAGTTATAAACAGATGATGCTGTAGCTGTGCTGACGTCCTCTGTGTGTCTGCTGCTGCGGTGGGGTGGGGACAGAGTTGCTGCTTTTATGACTTTTTCACTTCTTTGTGTCCATCTCGGGTTGTAAACATCCAGCAACCCGGAAGGTGATGTTTTCCCCCAGGACAGCAGGTGCTGGGAGAACAGGCTTGAAAACTCAGGTGAGCACCCAACATCGACCCGCTCCCCAGCACACCACCAGCACTTCCTCAGGGAAGCGTTTCCAAGTGAGGTCCCAAGAGTTTGGGCAGTGGTGTGGCCACGACTGCTTGCTCAGAGGTCGGTGGCAAGATCGCCCCCGTTGCCGGAGCTGCAGAAATGCCTTTGGGGCACTGGGTTAAACAGGGGAACTGCCAGGGAGTGATGGAGATCCAGCTTCACTGCCCAGTGTGAGATGAAGTTTTAATCCCTGTCTCAGTTAACCAAAGTTTCCATTTCTAACCTCAATTTTGTTTTGAAAATCCAGCCATCCAAAGCGTTGTGGTTCCTGTGCTCTGGGGCCTCCCCTTCCATCCCAACCGCCGCATAAGCCGGGAAGAGAACAGGGTTGCAAGAGCTTTCCAGAATTTTTATTTACTCCTTTTATACCAAATTTAGGAGGAGGACAGAAGGGAAAGAACAAAAATAGGAAAGAAAAGAAAAAAAGCAGCTCCAAAAGGCAGAAATTAAAACTTCCCTGCCTTGCGTGGGTCTGGAGATGCAGGATAGCTGCGGGGCTGATTTGGAATTCTCACCTTGATGTGCCCTGGGAATGTTTGATAACCTGTAACAGGGAGAGCCATGCTTTTCCCTGAAAACACCCCAGCCACCCCCATTCCCTGCCTGCTGCAGTGTGTGGGGCCGCACCGGTCCCACAGCACAGTCCCCAGGTGGGGCTCGTGCTGCCAGGGCCATGGAGGGCACCTGTGGGCTATAAATGTGGAGAGGGTGGGGGGCTGCATCCTCCCTGCAGGACCTGCCCTAGTTGCGGAGGGTGCAGAGCGTTGTCCTGATATGTGGGGCAGGATCTGGCTGGTAAGGGGGGGACTGCTGCTGGGGAAGTTGGGCATCCTTCATGCTGCCTGTGGGGGCTGTAGGGAGAGGGGGTGTTTGGGGATGGAGCAGTGGTTTCGCAAACAGCAGTGCTCTGATGCATCTGAAGTTTTCCAGTGTTTGTGCTTGGGGTCTCCAAGAAGAGCTTTGTCTGTCCCGTGGTGCCGTCCTGTGTCTCCCTGGGCATTTGGGTGTTTGCCCTAGGGCCACTGGTTCTTCTGCGGTGCGCTGGGGG